CCCACCTCCCCCCCCCCCCCCCCCCCCCCCCCCGGTTGCTTATTTCCAGGCTTTGCATGAACGGACCTATCCTCTTTCACATTCCATTCCAAAATGAACGTCAATGTGTTTGATTGACAGGTGTTAATATGAAAGGGTTTAAAACATTCACAACGTCCGTGTCCATGTTTTGTGGTGCCTTTTTGTTTCATTCCTGTGCTTTTGTGTTGTGAGCGGGAGCCTGTCCTCCCCCTTCGTGTGTCATCTAGTCATTCAGCTTGGATCTCTGGAAAAAGCGAGTGAAATTAGAAAGTGTGGGTATAGATTAGTGATTTTAAATTATTTTAAAATGCTGGTGTAAGAATTGCCTTAAAAAAAAAAACTCGTTATATCCTAATTGTTTTTCCTACTGAGTTCCAAGGCAGCATCCATATGTAACCCTCCTCTTGATGCTCACAACACTCCTGCGGAGTAGGTCAGCCTGGACAGAGCCGGTGGCTAGCCGAAGGTCACCTTATGGTTTGAACCCAGGTTTTCAGAGTCTCAGCCCCCGAACCTAAACTAATACACCTCCCTTTCGGTTGCTGCAGAGTTTGGGCTGGAAAGCGGCCTTTTTTTTTAGGAGCAAAAGGCTGGCTGTACTTTCAGGCAAGGATGGCGATGTTGTATTTCGTGCCCGGCTCTGAAACTGAGCGAAATTGAAAGTCTGGGTTCAGCACACCAGGCCACTTGCTTCAGCTCCCTTGTCGTGGCGCGTGGGCATTTTGGCGGTTGACGTTGCCACGGTCTCCTCCCATCGCTGCACATGTTCCCCGTTGCCAGATCCCGTTCCACAGCCTGATTCTGTCTTGGCAGGGACGGGGGGAGAGAAAATCTCAAGATGCCACCTGAAAGGGGACAGCTCTCATCTCGGGCACGGAGGAAGCTTCTGCGTGTTGTTTAGAATCCTGAAACTGCCTTTCTATTATGGAGTTCAGTGGAAGGGCAACTATTTCTCTGTCTGATTATCATTTTTTAAATGAGGCTCCTCAGACACTCATTTCCCCCATCCCAGTTTTTGTCAGTGATCTGGCAGCGGTGTTGCTGACGCTTCTAAAGGTGAGCGAGGGAGCGAACCAGCAGGAGTGAGCCTAGCTCGCTCACGCTTGCCGGAATTAAATTTGGGCCCCGTTTCATGTTCCTGACAGCCTCCTTAGAGAGGAGAGCAAGGGCCTTTTGCTTTTGCAGTGCTGCTCCCAGCAAATAGGAACTCACCTGAAAAGCCAATTAAGCTATGAATTAATGGTAAGATTCGCTAATGGAAAAGGGGCAACTTCATTTGACTCCTTTTTTTAAAAAAGTGCATGACTTGTTTTCCTTTCTGCATCAACGTTTCTCAAGAATCAAGTGCATTTTCACGTTCTGGCCGTGGTCTTTTTTTTTAACATCAGATAGTTTGCAGGTTTCCCAGAGTTTGACAATTCCAGGAGGTGCGGGTTCGAGTCCCCCCTAAGCCACAGAACATGCTTCTATTACATGCATTGTACCTTTATTGTTTCTGGCCATAGGCCATTACAAAGGCAGCCTTACATAGAAAGGGTTAAAAGAAAAGGATGCCTCAGAGGTTAATAAATCCGTTTTGGGAATGGTGGCATAGCGTATAATATCAAAGACACTATATTCAACATTTATGCAACATTATGAACCTTAACAAATTGAAGCCTCATCTTCTTAGCTGCCAGAGGAAATTGAGCAACAGAGTAAGTAGTCTTGCTATTATTTCCATTGAAGTACAGTCGGGATACAGCTGAATAATGGGAGACAAAAATCTTTCTCTGGGATTTTCATAGAGAGGGCAGATTGAGTTAGGTCCTCAATCTGATTGCAGCCAAAGACCCATTTCCGCTCCTCCGCCGGGATTCCTTTATACCTCCCTTCAAGATATGATGTGGTCATCTGCCCAAATCTAAGTTCGGAAAAGCCAGCGACTCAAAGTGACTTGGTTTTGCGTGATTCCACTGATGTTGGGGGTACCAGGTGGAAAAATGGGACCCAACAATAACAGCCCTGTCCTGACCGGCCTCAAAGTCGGGAATCCAGTTTCTAAGGTCCCCGGGGGCCTCGACTGAGGATTTTTTTCCAGTGGGAGGTTATGGGCTTTTAGTTTTTGGCAGCCCTGTTGTGCCCCTATCCACCAGACTGTAGTGGTTCTAGCCAGCAGCGCTTTGCCAAGGAGAGGTCCTCTCGGTTGCTCAATCTGTGCCAATATCTGAAATAGACCAGGTCAGTTTTAGCAGCAATTCCAGATGAAACTTGGCCCCGGTCTCTTTCTCCCAGCCTGGCCCTCCCTCACAGGGTCGTTTTCTGAAAACTGTTCACGGAGGATAAGCCAACCGGCGCTCTGTGGAGCACTTCGGCTTCTTGCGGGAACGGCAGGGCATAAGAGTACATCAGGAACGGTTGTAAATAAACATTCATCCAAATTCCAGTTGGAATAGCAAATGCGCAGATGCCTCTTTAAAATGCTGACTTGGATTTAGAAATTAGTCGGTGAAGACCAAAAACTATCAGATGATGGCTAGGCATTTTTCGCCTTCATTCTGGGAAGGCTTGGCATGCATCCACCGTCTGAGTGGACTGAAAGCTTGTCTTTCCATGTGGAAATGCCCTCCTCCCCAGCTGGACCCTGGACCACAGCAGAGGGCCGGTGGCTCCCCCTACCCATCCACCCCCGTGCTGTCTTCCTCCCCATGGCCAGCTTCGCCTGCATCCATTTTCCTCACCTTCTCTCTCCTTTCCCTCCCACAGATGACCGGGTGGACCAGCGCACGTGCCTGATCTGCGGCGACCGAGCGACGGGCTTGCACTACGGCATCATCTCGTGCGAGGGCTGCAAGGGCTTCTTCAAGCGCAGCATCTGCAACAAGCGGGTCTACCGATGCAGCCGCGACAAGAACTGCGTCATGTCCCGCAAGCAGCGCAACCGGTGCCAGTACTGCCGGCTCCTCAAGTGCCTCCAGATGGGGATGAACCGGAAAGGTAACTCCCGCAAGGGCCGACGGGCTGAGGGGTGGCGGCAGCGGCGAAGGTAGGGCTTCTGTCCCCCAACAGACCTCACGGGACGGTCAGAAAATGCCACACACACCCCAGTGAATATCTAACCCATGGCTCTTCGCTCTGTGGAGCAGCCATCGGGGAAATCCAGGACCCTGGCTTGGCTGCTCCGCTCAAGCGCAAACTGTTTCCCTTCTTTCTTTTTGTGGGTACCCCAGATTAGTTCGCAGATCCCCAGCGGGGGTGCGTGCAGAAATGGGGAGCTTTGGTAGCTTTGCAGTGTTGTGTCGCTGTTGTCCCCCTGCGGAGGAGGACCAGCAAGATAGACAGGCTGGTATCCCAGGGTAGAACATCTCCCTCTACCGGGCACGGTTATAAAGCTGGGTACGCCTCCCACGTGGCACAGCTCTGCCCTGAGGAGACCTGGTCGCCCCCCCCATCTTGAGAATTGCTTGCTGGGGGACATCAGTGCCCTCCCCAGGTGACATTTTAGAGGCAGAACAATGTCTGTAGGCGTACAAGGCGTGGGGAGGGGTTTGTTCTGGCAGGAGCAGGTATCACGTACGCAACCTTGCTATGAAAAGGGTTTGGGAGCAGGCTTGTGGCTGGGTGTCGGAGGAAGCTGTCCTGCGTGACCTCCCGCCCCCTCCCTTCCCTGAGAGGGGCTGCTGGCATTAGCCATAGTAGCCATTTGTGGGGCTCACAGAGGCATCGGGGGGGGGACATTGCTGGTTGTTGTCAGGACTGCAGAGAACCGGGAATCAGGGAGTGGTGCGATGGGGAGTCCACCCGGTCGGGAGAAGGCGCCGCATTGAACGCAGCGGCAGTTGCCAACCTTCGTCTCCCTCCAGACCTTCTGGGACTTCAGCGTCCAAAAGATCCATCCATTGCTCTTGGATGGAAGATCCCCAGGAATGGTCAGGGATTCCCCGCCCCCAGGACCCTGAAGAGCTGCAGCTGCCAGTCAGAGTTGTCCATCCTGGGCTAGACTAGACCAAGGGCCTGACATGGAATGAGGCTGCTGCCTACGTCTCTGAGATCCACAGACTCGCCTCTCCTGTACCCAGATGGGGAGGTCGGGCAGCCTCGCGGGTCTGGTTGGCCTACGAAAAAGCCCCGCCAGCCCCAGCCGGCAGAGCCAGCAAGCGTGAGGAGTGGCAACCCAGGACTATAAGGAGGGCTGCACTCTGACGGCCTTTATTTCTGCAGAATGGTGTGTGTGTGTGTGTATATATGTGTTTGTTTCAGGACAGACCCTTTGTTTTCCCGATCAAACTAGGGTGGTATGTTTGAGGAGGGAGTTTCCAGAGTCCTTCAAGGAGATGTCCTCCGTGCCCGGCTGTGCGCAGCTGCGGAGTTCTTGAAGGGCTTTTTTTGGCGCTGCTCTGAATCGAGAGGCACTTTTGTGAAGGCGCCTCTCCTCGCTCCCGTCAAGGGCTCTTCTAGATGAGTTGGCACAAAACTCACAGCAAAACAACCAAGGGTTGTTGGGAGGGGGGGGAGGCAGAACCTCCTTTAACAACACCTTCTCAAAACAGCCGACAAGGTAGGAAGGGAAACGCTGAAGAAAACGGGAACCCGCAGAGAGAGAGAGAGAAAGAGACCCCCCCACACACACACACGCACGCCGATGGCCATAAAAGATTCAGGGGAATTAAGAAGGGACGCCTTTCCCTCCTGCCAAAAATATTTTTCCAATAGTCCCGCTCGGGATGAACGATGCATCCAGTGCCAGAAACGGGCGTTCATTCAGAAAACAGGTTTTGGAAAACGAAAGGGGGGGGCTGCAGAACCGTAGCTTGAAAGCAGGAGAAACGTTTGGGAGCCTTCGTTGCATCTCAGAAAATCTCAAGGCGTGCTGAGCTGCTTTAGCCAGCCCTGGTCAGGTAGAAGAGCAAAGAGATAAGAATGGAAACTAATAAATGAAAACAAATCGTGTTTGCTGGCTCACTGCAGGGAGGTGGCTGCGCATCCCCTGGGGATGGCGGTGGCGGCAGTTCTGGAGCGTGGCCACCAGAGGGCGCCTGGCAACAACCAGCGGCTGCCCGGAAAGAAGAACCAACTGATCGATGT